GCCCCCACTTGGGTTTAATCCCCCAAAAAAACCATAGCTGCCTTGCGAATTTGTGACCTCTCCTCAGGGGAGAACAAATAACCCAATATATGCTGTAACTCTGCAAAAGTATACAGATTGGGTCTCAGGAATAAATCCAATGACTCAGACAACTTAATCAGATCCGCCCATAAAGACGCATATTTCTTTTATAATCTTCCAGATCAGAAGATGTCAAAGTCTCATTCACAAAAGCCGCAATACCATTCAGCATTCCTCTTAAAGGAAACATTCCTTTAGTTTGTGAACATGTAACATGAGGAGAAGTGGATGGATTCTGTTTCACAGTTACTAACAATTCACCCAACTCCTTCTCCAGCTGCCTATATTACTGCCCTGCTGAAGTCTCTTCCTTTCTGCTCCCAGCAACAACATCAATTTCACCCACAACTTGGATTATACGAAGGAGGGGGAGGTGGGCATGTAGCATAAGCTAAAGGATCCCAACCTTCCTCTTCTTCTTCCTTCCCATACAAAACTCTAGAACTTCTCGGGGAAGAGGAGTTAAACTACTGAACATGGAACTGAGGTTCAACATATAACAATTGAACTTTCAACTTCTTTTTTCACCAAAACTTTCTTCAAAGCATTGATCCAATATGGGTCTGACTCCCCAACTTACTCCACCTATAATTAGGCTGTATCAACACAAACGTCAGCCAAACCTCCTTACAATAATTAATCATAATCACCTTATCTAATACCTTTGTACAAGCTTCCAACCAATCCTCTAACCACTGTACTAACAATTTCCCTAATGGAGATATGGGGGATGGAGGATATTTCAGTCTCAGCAGCACTTTACCCCTAGTAAAGTCCCCATACTTTCCCCAACCTGTATTACACTAATTATACACACAAATCATACAGGCCATACACACACAAACATACACAAATCCAAACCACCAAAAAGAAAACATATACTCACTCCTGGTGCACCGAAGTCTTCAGGAACGTTCCTCTCTGTCCAGGCATTCAGGTCTCTGCCTCAAGGTTCATAGAAAAGCAATTCCGGCTGGAAAGGAAATAACCCCATCTCACTGAAATCAGTGTTATGTGCGCACGCAGGGAAATCCCTTCCAGACAGAATGTTTTCAGTCCCTGTTCGGGCGCCAATTGTGGTCGACAGGTAAATCCCATTATCGTTTTAAAGAGACAAAGACCAAAATAATCCTGGAACAAAGTTTATTCTTTGCAAAGGGCCTTTCTCTCTAAAGTAGAGAAAGACGGAAATAAAACAATTTACACAAGTTTTTGTAGTCTTCAGGACATTCAGAATACATGTCAATAAAGTACCTTGGGAATCAGTTCCAGATCTTACATAACATATGCAGTACATAATTCCACCCTGGAAATTCCCCAATTCCCAACAGAAATACCCCTCAAAAACATCAATTGCGTACTTCCTTTAATTAATAAGGGCAAGTTAACCCAAGAACATATTTCCTGCAAAACAAACATCCTCTAAAAAACACAGGAATTACACATTTCCTTTCTCATGTTCTTAAATGTCAGCTAAATTATATAATCAGGTTATACAAGGTAAAACAAAACCTTAACATGATTTTAAAATGGCGTAACTCAGGTTATGCTTTTACAGGAATAATTCCTATTTTTCTCACAATCTAGAAAGAAGCAGGTCCACAGTTTGGGAATGTTCCTCAAATTCCAGGTATCACTAAACTGATAAATATGGCATCCAGCAACCCTTCCTGAGCTGATTGGCCTTAATGAGAGTTATCAATGCACCTTGGTTATATTGTAACTTCACTAGTAGAACCTACTTTATATGGCATTGCCATTAAAAAGGGACTCGAAATTGCAATCTTACAAAATGTGGTAGCTACCCTTCTAACCAATGCAAGATAGAGGGATCACAGAGGGCCTGTAATAAAAAGTTTGTACTTCCAGTTGATTGCTGACCATCCTTTAACAGGATGTTGACCTTGAAAGTAATAAACAGCTTAGAGTCTGAGGGATTTCTATTTCCTGCCTGGATACATAGATTAGCATTTTGAGGACACACATTCTGGCATCCATGAAAAGATTTTCACCCGTCTGGCTTCCAGGATATGGAAGGCCTTCCCTGAAGAAGTTTGGGGTCCCTGTCCACCTTTTGTTTAGATAATGGCAAAACTCCATTTCCACTTTTGATTGGCCACAAAATTGATCTTAAGGATATTTATTTTAATTACACCTCTGCTTTTAAGAGCATTGTTTTAAAGTATTTTGAAGTATAAGATGCCTTGAATGTGCATGGACAGAAAGGAGGAATAGTTAGCAAATTATTATGGGTTTCATTTATTTCCTAGTTTTACTAGAGATTCTTAAGCCATGGTCATAACTTTAATATAGGTGAGAGTATTGAAACTATCTGTGCAGAATCCAACCTACTTGGAATAGTAAACCTCTGGTCCCGGTGACTGACTAAGATTGGATCCTGCAACATTATCCTGGGACATGTATATTTGCCTTCGTTCATAAACTCTGATTCAATATTTTCCATGTATATTTTGCTGCATTGTGGGCAAGTACTATATTGAAATGGATCTCCAAATGAATAAGAATTAATATGTGTCAGGTTTCATAGAATTTGTTTCATTCTCTGCCCAAAGGCAATCAAACTCTGAAATTTTGCACTCTCATTTGGAATAGGAGCTCCGCAACACCCTATTTTATGACACTCTAATGAAGAATTTCAGAAGGCCCTTGGATTCTGATACTCCAAAAGCGGGAGTTGAATATCCATAAGGACAAAAAATAATAAATTTTTCTATTTATCACTGCTCTTGCAGTGAAAGGGTGGGGGTGAGTATGGATATGATTGTTGGACATTATTTTCTGCAGCCATTGGCTCTTAAAAAGAAGGGCCACTGCACAAAATGAGAAAAATATCCCTATCCCTTTGGTCTTCAGAGATTCCAAGATCCTGGCTCAAGATCCAGAAGGATCTTGACAGACTTGAACACTGCGCTCTATCTAACAAAATGAAATTCAATGGTGAGAAAAGAAAGGCTCTATATTTGACAAGAAAACCCAAATGCATAAGTGTAGAATAAGCAGTACCTGACTTAGTAGTAACTGCAACAGCGATCTTGCAATCCTAGTCACTGAAATATGAGCCAGCAATGTGCTGTAGCTGCCAAAAAAAAAAGCCAATGCAATCCTAGGCTGCATTAAAGGATAGAATCAAGATCACATGAAGTATTAATACCAATTCATAATGCATCCATGATATAAAAAAGATGTGACTCTAGAAAGAGTGCAGAGAACAACAAAGATGATTATGGGCTTGGAGGTTAAAGCATACAAAGAATGATTACAGGAATTGGGTATGTCTAGTTTAATAAAAAGAACTAGAAGTGACGTGTAGGAAGTGACATGTGTTAGCACTCACCCCTCTCCTAGAAAAATGAAATATTTTAGGATATACTAAAAAGGCAGAATATTTTCCCTAAAAGAGAAGTAGAAACTCAGAGAAGCAGAAACTCACCCCCCCACCTTTGTTAATGGGCCATTAAGGCCTGAGTCAGTCTATTCTACATAACAAAGATCTACCTCCGTCAGGCAGAGCCATTTAATTGACTTTATTGCACTACCCACCAAGTTTCAACCAAACTTGGCACATAGACAACCTAAAAGGCTAGCTATGACCTCTGGCAGCAACCAATCAGGTTACTCTTCCTGGGCCCCAGGAAGTTCAAAGCCAGAGGGCATAAAACTAAGGCATGCTCAGCATCTCGCCTCCTTTTCTGTTCAGGAACTCAAACCATGTGATCCTGTCCACTATTAAACCATCTTTCCAAGCAGTCTCCATGTTTCCAGTGTCTTTTTCCCCACTTGGAGCTGAACCCAGAAGGATATTTCTTCTAACACATGATAGCAGTGTTCTAATATCTAAGCAGCTGCCACAAAGAAGAGGGAGTTAGCCTCTTCTCCAAAGCACCTGAAGGCAGGACAAGAAGCAATGGATAGAAATGAATCGAGCTCACCAAGGAGAAATTTCCACAGAACAATTAATCAGCAGACCTGGTTGCCTCCAAATGTTGTGGGTGCTGCAACACTGGAAGTTTTTAAGATATTGGACAACCATTTGTCTGAAATGGTTGAGCAGGGGGTTGGACTAGAAGACCTCCAAGATCCCTTCTGTTATTCTTAGTCGTAGATTACTTTATTCAGAGCCATCTGTGCTGTTTTTCACGCTCTGAGGAGTTTGTTAATATTCTCCTGATTCTGGCCTGGTTTAGAAAAACTTTTGGAAAGATTAGAAAAACCAGAATAATTTCACACCAGAATAGACCACAAGCATTTCGATAGGGATGAACTAGCATTGTCTGTTGTTACATCCTCAAACCCCCAAAACTTTAACCTTAAACTGTTTACTGTGAACCCCACCCCATTCCTAAGAGGTCTGTAAGGGGTGTGCATAAATGCACCAACGTGGCTACCGTCCCTGTCCTACTGTCCCCATTTATTCTTATCCATTTCCTGTATTCATAATCATGTTCATACTTATATCTGTTACCTTATACATATTTGACAAAATGTATGTATGTATGTATGTATGTATGTATGTATGTATGTATGTATGTACAGAAAGAGGGGGATTTTTCTTCAAGAAAGTGCAATTTGTTTGACTGGTGCAATCATTGAAAAAACTCCTGCCATTTCTAGTATTGATGCTGAAGAAAGACGGGATTTAAAAAAAACCGAAGCTCAGATTTGTATTGCTACGTGTTCAGCTTCGTGGAAAACAGGCGCGCTCAGAGGCTACGTTAAACATCGCGGATTTCCATCGCAACTATTAATTAACCTTGGCAGGTTCCCAAATCGTATACAAGGTTGAATCGGAATAGTTATATAGAAAAGAGACCGCCGGGTGCGGAAATAAATTACGAAGTCGAAAAGGCACCTCGGCCTTCACCATTTCCCTTGATCCGGAAAACTTGATACGGGAAATATTAGTTTTTATGAGAAGCTTTTATTACATTCAGGGGATATAGTGGGGGCCGCGGTAAGTTTTCAGGGAACTCAGAACCGTGAGATAAACCCACTTCTAGAAACTATATATCCATAGCTCAGTGTGGAAGGAAGGGCAGGAAGCAGTGTTACTTTGCTTCCGGACGAGGCCGGAAGTTGTGCTAGGCCGCTCCGGATCCCTCTGAGCCCGGCGTGATGAAGGCCATCATCCAACGTGTCACTCGAGCCAGTGTGTCAGGTGCGCGGGGGCCGTTTATGTTCCGATTCCGTTTTCTATCAGCTGCGCAGCGCCAGCGTGGTCGCGTTTGCCCCTCGACGCGGTGGTCTAGAGCTCTGGCATGCCGGCGGGGCTTCTCGTGGCCGAGCATCTTCATCCCACCCTCTTGACCGCTTCCCGCCGCGGGCTCCTTCAAAACCCACCCACCGCCTGGTTGCTATTAAAGGGTCTTATGTTCCGTTAAGCCCTGATTTGGCTTGAAATGCATCCTCACGTTGGACACTGCAGCGAATCCCAGTTCTTTGTGGCATGTCCATATGGATCATGTATTTGTCCACATCCTTCCCTTATCTTTGAAGTAACTTTTAAGCCTGAAACAAAAAAAGGAAGTGTGAATAGAAGCCCTAAGTTGTTGATTCGTTATCCTGTTACCACAATACGCAAGGTGCTCTATAGAGAATGGTAATTTGTGAGGATCAGCAGTGTCACATGTGTTTTATACAGCATGTACATGTACATATATATATATATCAGTGTGTAATTTTTTTTGTATATGTATATGTATATATATATATATATATATATATTTGACAACATTCATATCTTTATTTAGGAAGAAGTAATATCCTGGTTTGATTGTGTAGAATGTTCAAAGTATTCTACATTATTTAATCATTTTATTGTAATAGAGTTTTAAAACCATAATGTCTGTAACTTGTATGTTTATTATTTATAATGATAATATTTTATCATTGTAGAGTAAATCCTCACAAATTAACATAAGATAAAAATATATAAATCAAAATAGTTAGGGGAACATAACAGAAACAGAGAAAGTACACTCCAGACTCTAATAATGAAAAAGAGAGAAATGTTTGATAGAATAAAAACAGAAAATAGGAATTACTTATATGCCATAAGTATTATTATTAGATTTAATACAAGTTCAAATTTGGAAAACATTTGAACAGAGACTAGCTTAGAATTCACCTATCCCCTTTAACTTGTGGAAATATCCTATTGATTAAAATAGGAAGTTAACCATATGCTTTGGCATCCTTTGTCAGAATTAGGTGGAATTTGATGCAGTAACAGTAAAATTTCAGAAAAATATTGTTTCTTGGGTAGACTGTTAAAGATTCCTTTCTATTTTTATTTTTAAAATATTAGTTGCCGCTGACTATGCAGAATTGAAATGCAGAAGTGACCCTTCCTGCACCTTGCCAGAGGGGTTCCTTTCCGGGGGAGCTAAATTACTTCAGCAGGCAACTCTTTCAGCCTCTGTACCCAAGAGTTGAAATCCAAGCAGATAGCAGAGAGGCAGTACGATAAGGAGCATAGGGTTCCTCAGGCAGATTGGGAAGCCCCAGGAAGTCGGGCATAGGCTATATGCAAGCATCTCTTTTTCTTGGGCTTAAAATCCTGCTTGGATTTCAGCAGGGAGGGTTTTCAGCTCCAGAGTGGAACCTCCCAAGATCTATCCTCCCCCCCGCCGGCATCCCATACTCTTTACCTGAGACTCTGATTATTTAATCACCTGGGAGATCAGTTTAACAACTGTAGTTGAGAGTGCCAGGATTGTGGTAATTGAGTGAAGCAGTCACGTGATGTATCGCTTAACTGCTTTGCTCTGCAGTCAAGATTTCCTTCTCAATTGTGGTCGTAAGTCAAGGACTACCTATCAAGTCTCCTTTGAATGGACTGGTTATACCAGCAAAGTTTTAAAGTTTTTTATTTTTTATAATTTATTAAATTTATATTTAATAATATAAAGAATAGCCTTATCGGTGAGAGTGACAGCATATAAATTTAAAAATAAGTTAAATAAATAGAATTATATGTTGTCCATCCACCTGTAAGGCAACCCTGGGCCAGCGGTGCTATTCAGCAGGTTCTGACAGGTTCTGGAGAACCGGTAGTGGAAATTTTGAGTAGTTTGGAGAACTGGCAAATACCACCTCTGGCTGGCCCCAGAATGCGGTGGGAATGGAGATTTTGCAATATCCTTTCCCCAGGAGTGGGGAGGGAATGGGGATTTTGCAGTATCCTTCCCCTGCCACACCCACCAAGCCACCCCATGCCCACCAAGCCACGGCCACAGAACCAGTAGTAAAAAAAATTGAATTCCACCTCTGTCCCGGGCAGCTTACAGACAGTAAAAATATCTTTTTATTTACAAACAAAATATACAAACAAAATTTGAAGTGCTATATATAAAACTAGAACCAAAGATGTCACAAGGATAAGATATTTTGTTTTTGATACCTTTCTGGAAGGCAAAAAGAGTGGAAGCAATTCTCACGTCTGGTGGTAGAGTGTTCCACAGGGTGGGGCCACAGTGAAAAAGGCTCTTCCCCTTGACCACACCAGTCAGAATTCTTTAGCAGAGAAAAGGTCTGCAGCTGGCCCCTTGTACAAGGGTTAGTGGGGTGAGCTACATAGCATTCAAAAGAGAAAATCAACAAGCCAAAAAGAGCCTTTTCCATCTTAACACCCATTAATTTTGGCTGATAATTTCAAAACCAGAAGAATGAAAGTTTCCTAAATAAACTTACGATAAATTTTGAGATTTTATTTATTTATTTATTTATTTTATTGGTTCGATTTATATGCCGCCCTTCTCCAGAGACTTAGGGCGGCTTACAATGCAATAGCCTTCATACTTTTGTATATACCTGCTTATTTCAACCCCCCCCCCCAAGCGATGTTCTTTTTTATATGAAGTCAGCTTAGTGCCTCCACAATCCGGGTCCTCATTTTACCTACCTCGAAAGGATGGAAGGCTGAGTCAACCTTGAGCCTGGTGAGATTTGAACTTGCAGTAATTGCAGGCAGAGGCTCTTTTTTTTTCTTTGGAATTTGTTGACCTGTTTTGGTTCAAAGGGAGCAAATAAAATAATGGGAGGAAAAATTAATAAAAAGTTACTAAATAGCAAATGTAAGATTCCATTTTACAGAAGTTGCCCGCCCCCACCCGGCTTTCACCATTATTCCCAGCTAAAATAGAGGGGAAGATTGGTTAAAATCTGGCAATATTGAATGTTATCAAAACAGTGTGGGTTTCTCATACTTCCTAAACTCGGTGCTGTAGTGTTAAAGGATGGATATTTGAAAATACCTTATGAACAACAACTCTGCCACTGCAACAGTAATAGAGCTGAGAAAGTAGAACACTTTTTCTGTATGAACTCTATAAATTGTATAAACAATTATATCCTGCTTCCATTATGCCTATCAAAAGGCAGGGGACAGGAGATTAATTCTTCTTTTTAAAAATCTTTTAATAAACTAGTTTCTGTTCTCACATCAAGACTGGTTAAATTTGGCATGGTTTACAATTCTGTAACAAAACATCTGGATTTATTTAAATTCGCTGTATTTCCTAAGCATATGAAATATTTTAGTATGTGTAGTCAGGTTTAGAAGTGTATATGTGTAAAATTCCCATTGAAGAGGTTTACTGGTAAAATAGAATTTTGTCTGAAAGAAGATTCCTTTTAGGTATTAAAATATTTAGGTATTTAGTTATTAAAATATTGATATCATCCTATGATATGTAAATTGGTTGTATGAACATTTATTAAATATTTTGTATTCAGAGATATATTCTGTTTTTGCCTTCTATTTCCAATTGCGTTACTATGTTATATTTTATAATATAATGACTATGTTGTAATTACTGATTGAAGGATTATAAAAGCAACAAACCCACTACATATTAACCTTCAGCTAAGGATGTCACATCCCAAAGGCATGCTTATGTTTCTTGATTTTCTTTGGAAGTGGATCTATGCATATTATGTTTTGCAACAAATTGTTTAAAAAAATGTATCTCCACTGGGAATAGAATTGACACTTAATAAGAATACCACTCTATAGAATAAATTGCTTTCCGAATTTAGGAATAAGAAACTGTTACATGTGTGTGTGTGTGTATTTATAGGGATATGACATAAAATAAATTCTATACATTTAACTTCTTAAAAATATCCCTTATAGTTGGTGGGGAACAAATAAGTTCCATTGGACATGGCATTTGTGTGCTGCTTGGTATCTCTGTAGAAGACACGCAGAAAGAGGTTGAGCACATGTAAGTAATAAGAATTTAACTTTTCTTCCACCTTGCAATTTACATATGTTTTACTTAAATGATATTTCCTAAATTTTTGCATCAGTTGTTATGTATAGAATCTACATCTACTGTAAATCTCTTTATATTATCTTTGCTCCCCATTTTATTTATGTATGTATTTATTTATTGGTTTGATTTATATGCCGCCCTTCTCCGGAGACTCAGGGCGGCTTACAATGAGTTAAGCAATAGCCTTCATACTTTTGTATATACCTGCTTAGTAGGGCTTTCGGACCCCCCTAAGCGGTGTTCTTTTTTTATACAAAGTCAGCTTATTGCCCCCACAATCCGGGTCCTCTTTGGAATATAATGTAGAATATATAGTATATGTAGAATATTGAATAGCTTAATTTCAGAAAGATTCCATAAAGGCCTTTGACTTTTCATATAGGGTTCGAAAGATATTAAATCTTCGTGTGTTTGAAGATGAAAGTGGGAAACACTGGTCTAAAAGTGTAATGGATAAGCAGTATGAAGTGCTATGTGTTAGCCAGTTTACTCTTCAATGTATCCTGAAAGGAAATAAACCAGATTATCATATGGCAATGCCTTCTGACCAAGCAGAAACTTTCTACAACAGTTTCTTAGAGCACCTTCGCAAAGCATACAAGCCAGAATTAATTAAAGGTAAGGCAAAATTTACTGATGAATTGAAATATTTCTCAGGCAATAGTTAGGTTCCTACAGAAATTGCTATACTTACATTGTAATTTATTACACTAAATCATAATTCTTCTTTTAATAAACTGATATGTTTGGTTTTGGGTATGTGGGAATGAAAATGAGTGCAGATATAAGAAAAAGTCTATGTCACAAGAGAAAAAGAGAGAATGAAGAAATACATGGATTTCTGAAATGGCATATTCCCCCATTTAAAAGCTAGGGTGAAGAGTATGTTTGCCCCCTTAGGTGCCTGGGAGACTTCTGATCTAAGATCTCACAAAAAGACCATTCTTGATTTCTTTCAGTTGTATTTATGTGTTTTCTCAGCCTAATTTCTCTCTTCTGCTTTGATTCAAGAGTGAATCAATTCCTTTTACTTAAAAAAGGTGTGAGAGAAAACCCATTGCCTCTGGGTATATATTTCTTTGAGGCATTTCTTCTTTTCACCATTTTTTTTCAAATTCTCCCTCCCCTGTTCACCATGAGTTTGTTTTAAATCAGGAGTAAGTAACCTGAGTCCAAAGGCATTCCATGGCCACTAGAACACCACTGGTGGAATTTTCATTGGTGCCTTTTTTCTATCTGTAGGCAAAAGAGGTTTGAATGGATGCAGTAGTGGCATTCATTTCTACATTTAGCTCCCTAGTCCTCAAAATTCATAAAAAAGAGCAATGTTTTTATTCCTGCCACTCAGTGATGTTACTGTATCCTCAGATATGCCCTGCAATTTCCCAGTACCTGCTTTAGGGCCAGTCAGAACCATGCAATAGTTCGGATCATTTTACATTTGGTTTGATATAATTACATTTTTTAAAAAATGATTTTTCTGGGCTAGAACATGGCACTTGGCTGTATATTTAGTTCCCAGTAAAAAAAAAAAAAGGTAAAATCTAGATTGATGTGGTGGTAGGAGAGATATATACAAACTTATCATTTTGAAATTTTATTTACAGTTTGAATCTCCTAGATTCAAGAAGTTATAGATTTCAAAAAAAAGTATTAAAAAGTCAAGACTGAATGCTGTTCATTATGTTTTGGTTTGAATTAATGGTAGAGTATGGTGATTTTAACAAAAGGAGAATTAAATATTGTTTATGGACAAGTACCCTTTCTCTTTTTGCCATCCAACTTTAATTTTTCAGATGGCAAATTTGGCGAATACATGCAGGTACATATTCAGAATGATGGACCTGTGACCATTGAACTGGAGTCTCCTACAGCCCCTGTTGACTCTAAACAAGTATGTTGTAGTAGTGCTTTTCTTTACCTACCTATTTTGAGATAGTCCATATGTTGATGTTAAAAGCCTTAACTGTGTTCTGCGGGCCTCATTTTTATATTCTGACCTGAGAATAACTAATCCTCTTCTGGACAGTAATTATTTTAAAAAGAAGTGAGGTTTCTCTTTGAGAGTATTAAAAACGTGTTATGAAAGTATCACTGCAACAACAACCATGGAAGAATGATAAACTAGGGCTGTGATACTTTTGGATCATTGTTGCTGTTGCCTCTTTTTCAGCTGAGGTTTTATATGTTGCCAAAGCATTGTTACAAAATCTTGAGTTTATTTTATTATGTTTATGACTTAAGTTACTTAGAGGGTTTGATAGTTTTATATATTGGTCAATAATCTTGATGCACTTTATTGACACTGGATTGTAAGAGAGGATAACTAGAAAAATGGATGCTGACAAAAGTCTGTTTGAATGGAAAAGAGGAAGTCATTCCTGTTTAAACTAATGGGAAATGTTAGATCTGATATGTAATGGATCCAGTAGATTTGTGATATGTGTGCCTTATTACACTGTATTATAGACTATATCGTATTCTGTGTTCTGTGAATAATTATTTCCATTAGGAATTTACTGTTTGCTTCTGTGCTTTCTTTCAAGTCTTCTGCTGATCTGGCCCTGATTTGTCTTATTAATGGCTCTTTCTGCTCAAAAAGTTAACAGAGCAACATTTTCAAAGAATTGCACTGCCATTGCATGTATTAATTTTAGATACCACAGAGTCATGTAATAATATAGTATTAACTGAGACATATCATTTCTAAGAGTAGGTGGTTAGTAGTGGTTCACTGACATCCACTTGTGCTATATTAGAGTTGTGCTGATACTAGAGTTTTTATCATTTGTGCTGATACTAGAGTTTTTCTCTCTGCATATTAATATGTAACGAATATTGGCAAATAAAAACCTGATCAAAGTATTAAAAATAGATAATCAAAAATACCACTTTAGTTATACTATAAACTACATTGGTTATTCTGCATGAACTAGCTGCTGCAAAAATACTTTTAATTAGATGTGAATACATTGCCCCTGATTGCTATGCTTTCCCCTAATATGAAGTGGTGTCAGAACTTATACATCTGAAGTTCTAACCAAATAATCTGTACAATATTTTCAGCTTGGGTTGGATTTCAAACTGCTGTAGTCTATTGAATCCATTGAAACCCATATTTGATATAGCTGAATTATAAATAAGCAAATATTGAAAATTTATATTTACCCTGTTATAGGTCCCTAATCTACACTTTCTAGGAGCAGTTTATTCCCATGAAGAAGCCTACCAAAATGCTTGCTATTGTTACTTAATCAGTTTATTTCTAAATAAAAGCATTGAAAGAAAATAATAGCCTCAAATTGTTTGCTCCTTCTCAAGCTTCTTTCTTAAATAGAAGCCTTCAAAGAAAATAATAATAAATCATCCTCTAGTCCCGTGATGGCGAACCTATGGCATGTGTGCCACAGGTGGCACGCGTAGGCCTCTCTGCCGGAACAGGAAGTGCCTCACAGGAGCAGATAGAGGTAAATCCTAGAAAGACGCAGGCAATGCATCACTGAACAATGGAGATGAATGCTAGAGAGGAATAAAGCTGCATACAAGGCAGACACAACACCTGTAACAGCGTAGGCATGCGGGGGGAAGCAGGGGGAGGCAGCGTGCCTCCCCACCCCCCATTTTTGGTCCCAGGAGGCTTCAGGGAGGCCTGCTAGGCCCAAAACGGGGTGTGGTGGGGGTTGTGCGCGCATGTGCAGAGGGCGGGGGTCACTCACGGGGGTGTCACGCACGCATTGTATTATGGGTGTGGGCATGTGCATGCGCACTGTTGTGCGGGCACGCAAGGACAAAAAAGTTAACCATCACTGCTCTAGTCTTTTGGCTAGGGTTTGGTACCTAGGATCTGTAAAGAGTTGGAGAAATAATATCAGTGATATGTGAGGAGCTGTAATACTTCAAGAAAATTACTACACTTACTAGAAAGATTCTCTTTTAATGCTATTACTAGAAAGAAAGAAATTCATTTTAATATTTAATGCCTATTCTGCAGTGTAACTATTGTGTAAATCCCATATGTTTGTATTGCCTGTTGGAAACCAGGCTGTGCTATTAGTTTGACATTTTGAGATATCTGTGACAAAGTAGAATTACCAAGGAGTCTGTTCTGGAAATGTTTTTGATATATATGTAAATAAGTTCTAATAACAGTCTTGTAATGATGAGTATACATTGCCAGTGTTCTATTTAAAGATTTTCATTACTGATTACAGAATGAACTTAATTATAGGAAATCATTAAGTGAGGATCTGTCACTTGCATATTTTTTGACATGGTAGGAGTTTTGAGTAATATTAGCTTCCTGTCAGTTTATTTGAACTTTTTCCTGGAGTGTTTTAAATATGTGGAACTTAAATTTATTCAATTTAAAGTTTAGTTTGTCTGGTCAACTCTTTTTTCCATATTATTACTGTTGCTGCTATCAAACATATATTTGGTGATTTACATATCATCTCCTTTTTTAAAAAAATTGGTGGCAAATCTTTACTTATTTACTTATGGTATTTAGAGATAACTTCCTATCCTAAACTGTTACTACACTATAAAACAGTGAGACAGATAGATCAATGAGTGGCAGACTTATACTGTATGCCAATTCTTCTGTATATTTTGTCTGCTCACACCATTTCAAGGCCTAATAAACATCACCCACCAAATCAAGGTACATATATTTGCTCACTATCAATGACATATGAGATCTGTTTCAATTCCCCACAATATTCTATGCTGAACAAAATAGCCAATGTTTGTGCAACAGGATCAATGGACTCAATTGTCATAAAAATGGCAATTCCTAAACATTCTTGGAAAACATACTAATTTCATGGGACATTCTTTCTTTGACCACAAAGTGGCGATATGTGAGAAAAATCCCTGAAACAACAAAGGTGAAATTTGTTAGAAGAATTTCAATAGCCTTTCTCATGGCATTACTTCTTATCAAACAAGGTATGTTAACTATTCACTACATGAATGTCTGCATCATCTCTAACTGCTGTTTTATGCAGTTCTACCCTGCACTTTCTCTTTATGATTTCCTCCTCCCTCACTTTCTCCCATCAAATTGCATTTTTCTCAGGACAATAAGCTGATTGATTTATTGGTGCATTTATTGCAATAGACTGACACAGCTACTCCCTTAGAAGTAAGAATGTTTTTTTTTTAATTTATGGATATTTTCTCCAGCTTCCAAAATATTTATAGTTCTCTGCCTTCAGCCTTTATCATAAACATTCTGCCATATTCCCCCCACTCCTATAAATTTGTGCATGTGAGATGTTCTTCTCTGAGGTCTATATCCCCGTATATCTGATGAAGAGGATTGGAGTCATTTGCAAAAACTTCCTGTTCTTTACTGTTTGTCTTGTTTTGCTGCAAAAGGTTAACATAGTTTTTTGAAAACTAAGATATTGTCTGTGCTGTTGCACTACTTCCATTTACATTCATTCACAAATCTGCTTTTCCATCTTTTCTTTGCAACAGTTAGCAAAACTTGAGAAACAACAACAGAGGAAAGAGAAAACCAGAATGAAGGTCCCTTCTGAATCAAGTAGAGAACGAAATCTTCCTAAAAATAAAAATGATCCAAGTGCAAGCAGTGGGGCTGAAGGAGATGTTTCTTCTGAAAGAGAACCCTAACTTCTCAAAGCACCTTCAGGTATGAACTTTCTGCCTCTGCTCTTTTGAAAAGATCCATTTCCTGCCATTTTAAGTCTTGTATAAATTATTTATTATTTTCTTTTCAATCCTATAAATAAGTCCTTTTTCAATATTTAAAGCTGCTTCCACTTCATTTCATATAGACCAGTTTTATTTTCTTTGTATAGTTTCCTCTCTCCCTTTCCATTTTTAGTGATTTTTTCACTTCCCCCACCTCTGCCTGGGGCAGTTATACCTTCTCTGATAAATAATTAGAAATTTCCTTTATTCCCAGAACATTCTGGACTATGGCCATAGCTATTTATATATTCCAACTTCTTAATCATTGAGAGACATTTAAGGAACAAAATGTTTTAAAATATCTTTTCAGGCTATGTTTCTCCACTTGATTGTAAACTTTTAATGACATTTTTTGTGATTTGACATTCACCAATTTTTCATGCAATATATTAATTAAAATCTGCCAAATAGGGCCTAGGTCCATATCTAAAAGATTAAAGGAGTTTTATTTCTCCTATGTTAGCATAGGGGAAAATAATAATGGAATGCATAATAGAATGTAATTTACCTGGAAAGGGAGGGAGAAAAAGTATGTTATTTTTAATTGAATGTATGCATAATTAGTGAAGCCATGTATCTTGAAATTTTATTGTAATCTGAAGAGCAATTATATGTTCTAGGATGGGGTCGAATATAGTGTATCATAAAAATGAGGAAGGAAGTAGGTCTAGTCAAAGGTGATATATCAGTTAGTTGAGGAAGTCATAAAACGAGATTACACTTAACACTGGAAAAAGTGGGCATTAGTTTCTCCCCTTCTCTCTTGAAGTTGTACATGGCTCAACTTGAGAAAGAAAATAATAGAAATCACAATTTTGAAGTAGAAATTTTCTATCTTGAAATAATATTCCTTCTTTAATAACTGCTATGTACTGCTCAGTTGTTTAGAGTAACTTACAAGTCCTGTAAACAAACAAAATAAAAACAAGAAAAACAAACAAGTAAACAAAAAAGTAAAATCTGCTATAATTAAAACATTTCTTTATCATTTGTGGAATATTTATTTATTTACAGTATATTTGACTTAGCATACTGCAGACATTAAGGTGAAAGTTCCAGGCAGCTTTGAATAAAAAACAGTTTAAAAGGATTAAAAGCAATGAAAGCAAGTAAAATGATTAAAATAAATAACTAGAAACCCGTATATACATTTAAATTTTTTTGTATGTGATAAAAATGTTAACTTCTGCTGGGAACTCCTTTCAGAGTTTGGGCCACAATACAGAAGACTTGATCCTGGGTTGCCCTTAGATGAGATCATTGTAACTGTAGGGGAACCTCTTTGAATGATATCAATAAGCAGAAGATGCTTTCTGTTAGTGATTTATATTTTGCCCAGAAGTGAAGTAGCAGCCAGTGCAGTGGTTTAAGTACAGGTGTGGGATTTTCTCTTTGGCTTTCTTCTTGAGCCCAATCTGTTTGCCAAATTTTGTGCCAGCTGAAATTTCCAGCCTTGATGCAAATGTTAGCGTTAGGATTAAAAAACTAATAACACATAAAACACTCTTAAGACATTATAGCTTGGAGTTTACTATTGAAATAATAGTTTAAAGTTACTTTTCCCCCAGAAAGCAACAATAGGCATCAGCCAAAGCTGATAAAAAGATGTTTGTGGCTGTTGGTCCAATCTGGAAAACCAGAAAAAAGATTTCAGGTCAGAAGCACCCTGAAGCTATATATTGCTCCTGGAGAATAACTTCATTCAGAATAGATTTGTTTCACAGGAAGGTTAAAAAAATATCTTGCAGTTTGAGCACTTTGTTTTTTGCTTTTTTGTTATTAAAACTAAAAGATCTGGACAAGTATTAATTAAGAGACTACAATGGAGGGTACTTACTCCCGGTAAAAATAATTGGTTTAGGACATTAATACTTTAAAGAGACTGCTTCTTCCATTCATTGACAGATAAGAAAAAAGAAAAAAGCACAAATGATGTCCTGAAAAATCTTCATTTCTCTCCACTATCATGTTTTAGTGGTTAGAATGTAGTACTGCAGGCTAACTCACTGCTCACCCCAGGAGTTTGATTCTGACCAGCTCAGACTGAGCCTTCCATCTTTCCGAGGTCAGTAAAATGAGGACCCAGATTGTTGGGGGCAATATGCTGACTCTGTAAACCGCTTAGAGAGGGCTGTAAAGAACTGTGAAGTGGTATATACTGGTAAGTCTAAGTGCTTTTGCTATTATATGCACATTCTTCAGATACTGGGGAAAATCCTTTCCTCTTCAAAAAGTTCAGAATGAGTTTTTTGAGAGCGATAGAGAGAAAGAGACGGAGTGGGACAGAGAGATAGAGAGAACTCAAAATTGGGTGAACTTCCCATTTGCTACCACAATTTGAACTTAGTTGTGGCTAGTCCAACTTGATACGTTGTGATTATTACCTGCCCTCAAACCAGAATTAACTTTCTGATTCAAGGGCAAGTGTCATCCACAATTTTCCTATTCAGACCTCACAGCACATTATGATATAACATGGAAGGGATTTGTGCCTATGGTGCCATGGTGCATAAAATTGCTATAACTATAACATATCTGAAATATTTTGAACACACAAAATATTGTACAACTGCTAATCTACTCTTTTTATTTCCCAAGAAGAGCAAGTCAGTGCTTTAAAGGCTGATTGATGTGATTAAAAAAAACAGTCTAGCATCACCAGATCAATACAGGTGACACTGCTTGCCTGGCAAAGCTGTCATCTAATTGTGTCACTGGATTGCTGGAACCATTTATTTTAATCTTGCGAAGGAATTAATTAACAAATGTGTGGGCTGAGTAATTATTTGTCCGCATGATGGAGCAATTTGACAACCACTTCATGGTGAATTTTCTGTAAGTCTTGAGACTATTTTTGGTGTGTCCAGGGTAAGTCTACTTTCTCAAAATGACTCACTGAACATTTTGCTCAATTTTCTTCATTGAGTTCAGTGACCGTTTCATGAAATTCTGAAAGAAAATCATTCAATCAAACAGCTTCCTATGTTTTCATTTTGAAAATTGTGCTTTCTCACTTCCCAACATGAAGACATTTAAAGCAAACATCCTGGGCAGTGGTAAATGATGTCTCTTCATTTTAAATCATTCAGTAAGAGACTAAGCTTGAAACAAATGAGGGGAAAGGAGAAATAATGTTCAAATTCAGTGACATAGTAAAGAAAAAAGAATGCTGGACATGTTGAAGGAAAACTATTCAAATATCAGAATATAGACTCCTCTGATAGCAGAGGATTGACTAAGAATCATCAAAACTGTATCACCTCTAGTGACTACATAGATAGACCTCCATAATGATTGGTTCCCAGTCTGGTCTTCATATCTTTCAATAGTGTACCCATGACACTATAATCAAACTTGGTGCTGATCATTTTTTTCTTCTTCTGTTTCCTTCCACCTTTCTGCATTATAAACTTCTCAAGAGAGTTGGATCTTCACATGATGTGTCCAAAATACAAAAATTTGAGCCTCATCATTTGGATGTTGACTAAGAACTCTGGACTAATTTGTTTCCTTGGCTACTTATCGTATTCTCAAGACTCTTTTCCAAAGCATCAGTACTTTTTCTATCATTCTTCTTGATCCAAATTTTGCTTCTATTGAATGCCAAGGGAAATCCATTATATGCACATTCACATGCATAATTCTTAAAGAACAGTTAATAAAATTCAATTAAAATTTATTACAGCCCTAAGGCCAGATACGAATAAAATATGGAATAAAAGAAGTAGTACATTCTTATATGTATATGTGCATAAAGGAAAAACAGTAACTATAATGGAGTCTAAAAATAATTAAAAACATACCATGTTTCCCCAAAAATAAGACCCTGTTTTATATTTTTTTGAACCCTGAAATAAGCTCTTGGCCTTATTGCCATGTGCTCAAAAGCCTGATTGGGCTTATTATCAGGGTTAGGATGTCTTATTTTGGGGGAAACAGGGTAGTTACTGAAATAAATCCAAATAAAATTGAATTATAAAAAGTTCCAATCTTAAGTAGTGGTATAGAATATTGTACAAATGATAACACAGAACTGGGCGACTTGAGAGGTTGTTTTCAAGTCCTAGTCTGAGTAGTACCATTCAATAGAAATTACATTCCCTACCTGGAAATTTCTTCCAGCCAGGAATGGATATATAAGGGTCTGTCTAGAGTCCTTCTATAAAGAACAGTATAATAGTATATGACCTAGAGTTTGTATTCAACCATCACCACATGGATATAACTGAAGATTCATAGGAGTACCCCTAAAACATCCAAAAAGAACTGCTGAGGGCATAATATCCAAACTAGCTAAAGTGAAGGCCTTGCAAAATTTGAAATTTGAAATAGGCAGTTCTAGCATTATCAAAGCCTAACATGCACAGACTTCCAGTAGAAAAGTCCAGCAACTGAATTTTGTGTAGGGCTCTTTGTTAATAAAATGTATTTATAAGTAACAACAAAAATTAAATTGTTGATAAATATAAAAACACTTTAAATAAATTTTATATTTATTGTTACAATCGTATTTAAGGCAGGTATGGGGAATTTTATTTTTCTAAAGACTGCACTATTTTACTTTATTCTGCTCCCAAGATATGAGGGAGTGTGGTTGAAGATATAGAGGATAGGAATAAATGTTTGGTTTTTTACTTGAGTTCTTTTATGTGTAGTAAGCCTTTGCAAATTCATTTCATTTTTTTCCTCTGAAAAATGTATACAAATCATATGACTGAAAATCAATTATTTGTTTATTAATATTAGTGTCCAAATGACATTTTGTAAGGGCAGCAAGAATTGGTGGAGAGTTTCTGCGATATGGTGTTCTGGTAGCCATTACCAGGCATAATATCATAAAACTAATGGAAGGTGGAATATAAAGCTTCTGGGTATTAGCATAGGTATCTGCAGTCTCCTTAGTTCCTCAATTGCTTGTTCTTTCTGGAATTGCCAGTA